TTCCAGGCAGAAAATCAACAAGTAGAAATAAAGTATTAAGCAGCCTTAAACTACACACTAGAACAAATGGATTTAATTGGTATCTTCAGAGCATTTCATCCCAAAGCAGCAGAATATACATATTTTTCAAGAGCACATGGAATGTTTTCTAAGATAGACCACATGTTAGGACACAAAACAAGTCTCAATAAGTTTTAAAAGACTGAAATCATATCAAGCATCTTCTCTGACCACAGTGCTATGAAACTAGAAACCAATCACAAGAAGAACACTGAAAAACATGCAAAGACATGGTAGCTAAATAACATGTTATTAAACAATGAGTGGGTCATCATGAGATCAATGGAAAAATCAAAAGATACCTTGAAACAAATGAAAATGAGGACACAACAATCCGAAACCTAAGGGAAACCTAAGGGTTTCCCTGTGGGACACAGGGAAAACAATCCTAAGAGGGAAATTCATAGAATTACAGGCCTATCTCAAAAAAAAAAAGAAAAAGCTCAAATAAACAATCTGACTTTACACTTAGAGGAACTTGAAAAACAACAACAAGCAAAGCCCAAAGTCAGTGGAAGGAAGGAAATAATAAAGATCAGAGCAGAAATAAATAAGAGTCTTAAAAAAAGGATACAAAAAATCAATGAGTCCAAGAGCAGATCTTTGCAAATATAAACAAGATTAACAAAACTTTAATCAGACTCATCAAGAAAAAAAAAGAATGGACTCAAATAAATAAAATCAGAAAGAGGAGAAATAACAAATGACACCAAAGAAATACAAAGGATTGTAAGAAAATATTATGAACAACTATATGCCAACAAACTGGAGAATCTGGATTAAAAGATAAATTCCTAGAAGCATACAGTCTTCCAAAACTAAATCAGGAATAATTAAAGAATCTGAATAGACAGATTACACCTAGTGAAATTGAAGCAGTAATCAAAAAACTGCCAACAAACAAAAGCCCTACCCCAGGTAGCTTCACAGGGGAATTCTATCAAACATTCCAAGAAGAACTAACACCTCTGCTTCTCAAACTATTTCATTAAATTCAAGAGAAGGGAAGGTTCCCAAACCCATTTTATGAGGCCAGCATTATCTTAATTCCAAAACCAGATAAAGAAACTACAAAGAAAGAAAATTACAGGCCAGTATCTCTGATGAACACAGATGCTAAAATTGTCAACAAATTATTAGCAAGCCAAATACAGCAATACATCAAAAAGATCATACACCATGATCAAGTGGGATTTATCCCAGGAATGCAAGGTTGGTACAACATTCACAAATCAATAAGTATGATTCAATACATAAACAAAATGAAGGATAAAAACCACATGATCATATCAATAAGTGCAGAAAAACCATTTGATAAAATCTAGCACCCATTTATGACTAAAAACTCTCAGCAGAGTGGGAATACAGAGAACATACCTAAACACAATAAAGGTCATATATGACAAGCCCACTGCCAGCATCATACTCAATAGGCAAAAACTATAAGCATTCCCCTTCAGATCAGGAACAAGACAAGGATGTCCACATTCACCTTTCTTATCCAATGTAGTACTGGAAGTCCTAGCCACCGCAATCAGAGAAGAAGAAATAAAAGGCATCCAAATTGGAAAAGAACAAGTAAAAATGTCTTTATTTGCAGACAACATGGTACTGAACACAGAGTACTCAAAAGATTCCACCAAGAAACTACTAGAACTGATAAAGGAATTCAGCAAAGTACCAGGATACAAAATTAATGTCCAGAAAGCAGTTGCATTTTTACATGCCAATAACGAGCTAACAGAAGGGGAAATCAAGAAAACAATCCCATTCACAATTACTTCAAAAAGAATAAAATACCTATGAATAAACCTAACCAAGGATGTCAAAGACCTTACTCAAAAAATTATAAGACACTGAAGAAACAAATCAAAGAAAATACAAGTAAGTGGAAGCATATACCGAGTTCCTGGATAGGAAGAATTAACAGCATTAAAATGTCCATACCACCCAAAGCAATCTAAAGATTCAACACAATTCCAATCAAGATTCCAATGCCATATTTCACAGAACTAGAACAAATATTTCAAAAATTTATATGGAACCACAAAAGGCCCCACATACCAACAGCGGTCCTGAGAAAGAAAAACAAAGTTGGGGGAACCATGGTACCTAATATCAAACTGTACTATAAGGTCATAGTATCCAAAACAGCATGGTACTGGCATAAAAACAGACACATAGATCAATGGAATAGAATAGATGGCCCAAAAATAAACCCACACCTTCACAGTCAATTAATATTCAACAAAGGAAGCAAACACCTACGATGGGCTAAAGATAGCTTATTCAATAAATGGTGTTAGGAAAATTGGACAGGTAAGTGCAGAAAAATGAAACTACACCACCTTCTTATACCACACATAAGAATAAATTCAAAATGGATCAAAGACTTAAATGTTAGACCTGAAACCATAAAAATCCTAGAAGAAAACACAGGCAGCAAAATCTCAAACACTGCTTATAGCAATTTTTTATTGGCTATATCTCCCCAGGCAAGGGAAACAAAAGAAAAAATAAACAAATGGGGCTACATCAGACTAATAAAGTTTTTGCACAACAAAGGAAATCATAACAAAATTAAAAGGCAACTTACAAAATGGGAAAACATATTCTCTGATACATCTGATAAGGAGTTAATATCCAAAATTTACAAAGTACTTACAAAACTCAACATCAAAAAAAAACCCAAGAAGACAAAAAAACCAACCCAGTTAAAACATGGGAAAGAACCTGAAAAGACACTTCTCCAAAAAGGACATACAGATGGCCAGTAGACATAGGAGAAGATGCTCAATGTTGCTAATTGGAGAAATGCAAATTAAAACTACAATGAGATACCATCTCACACCTGTCAGAATGGCTATCATCAATTAATCAACAAACAACAAGTGCTGGTGAGGATGTGGAAAAAGGGGAACCCTAGTGCACTGTTGGTTGGAATGCAGACTGGTGCAGTCACTGTGGAAAGCAGTATGGAGATATCTCCAAAAATTAAAAATGGATCTGCCTACTGACCTAGTGATCCCACTTCTGGGAATATATTTGAAGGAACCCAAAACACTAATTTGAAAGAACACAAGCATGCCTATGTTCACTGCAACATTATTTACAATAACCGAGTATGGAAGCAGCACAAGTGTCCATCAGTGGATGAGTGGATAAAACAACTATCCAACATTTACACAATGGAATACTAGTCAGCAGTAAAAAAGAAATTTCATCTTTTGTGACTGTATGCACAAACCTGAAGAACATTACGCTAAGTGAAAATAACCCAGCCAAAGAAAAACAAATACCATATGATTTCACTCATATGTGGAATGTAATGAACAAAGTAAACTAACAAGAAAGATGTGGACAGACTCACAGATGGGGAGCAACATGACAGTTAGTGGAGGGCAAGGGAGGGCAGTGGGTGGAGGGATTGAACAAAAAGAAAAAAGGACTCATGGACATGGACAACAGTGTGGGAATTGCTGGGGAGAGGGGAGTTTAAAGGGACTAAAAGGTAATGGGAAAAAATACAACAAAGATTGGATTTATTTAAAAAAAAAAGAATATCTTAACAAAACTCCACAGGACTCAAGGTTTGCATTTAACAGCACATGACTACTGGTATAAAATGCTAATGATAAATTTACCCTATATGGGAAGGGTTTTTTGAACCATGGAATCCTGTATTTAGGAGCTAGAAAAAAAAACAAAAGTTTCTAAACTGAGAAATGTAGTTCAGCAAAATGTTGATAGTTATTTCCTCAGAACAAAACAATCACACACCCCTGCAGTAAAACATTTGTTTGGAAAATGGTGTGGCAAATAAAATTAAGCAGATTTCTTTCCCACAGCACTTCTCACAGCTGCTGGAATGACCCTACACAGCCCTTAAACAGGACAGATCAAGACACTGAGGTTCACGTTTGTCCTAGGTGAACAACAGAGTCCTTTTCAATTCAAATGGTCTTGTCACTTTGCTTCTTAGTTTATGTTAGTTTAGCTTCTTAGCTTCTGCTACTTTTGCTTCTTAGGAAATCGAAAAATGGAAGCAATAAAAATCTGAAAGGAGTTAACTTCCACAACAACCAGGGCTTCATACTAAACATTGTAATAGCTATCATGAAAGCACTTTGCATATATTTCCTAACTTAATCATTACTCCAACGCTACTATACTTGGCTACTTGTCCTAAAAACCATTCCTGACCAAATCAGTCCCTAAACAGCCAGTGCTAAATTAATCTTCTCTAACTCTCAGAAAAGCCACAGTAATTGCAACAATTGGTACTGTGTTCCTTCTCTTTTTTTTAGTCAGATTCCACACCTGAACTTGCTTCAACATCTTGCTTTATTTCTAGAAGGTGCTTTTTAATTGCTTTAGCATATGTAACACTCCCCACTAATCCTGACTTAATTTCTAGCAGTTCTAAAACTCTGCACTACAGCTATCCTAGCAAAATTATAATCTATTTGTCCTTCTCAAGTTTTACTTTAATATTTTATTTATTTTTTGAGAGAGAATAGGGGAAGAGGAGGAGAAAGAGAAACATCAATGTGTGGTTGCCTCTCATGCGTCCCCTACTGGGGACCTGGACCACAACCCAGGAATGTGCCCTGACTGGGAATCGAACCAGCAACCCTTTGGTTTGCAGGCTGGCGCTCAATCCACTGAGCCACACCAGCCAGGGATACCTTCTGAAGTTTTTACATTAACTCATTGTGCTACTTGATTTTGCCTAAATCTCCAGAAACGTATTGTTGAAGACCACTGGCTGGTGTGGCTCAGTGGGTTGAGCACAGGCCTGTGGACTGATAGAAACTGATTGAAGTCTCAATACTCTAATATTGGAGAGATTGATGCAAAATATCTTCCCTAACAAGACTACATTTCCACCAACTGTTTATGTTTCGTAAGTGAAGCAACGCATCTGACGCTACTCTTACCTGGTGGCCGCCATATCTGTGAGCCAGTGGAATGGATCCAAACACTATCTTTTCACCACTTACAAGCTGGATAAAATCCTCTGTTTCTGAGACAGACAAATCAAGGTCCAAAATGTCTTCTAAAACTTCCTGAGGTGGGAAAAAAAACACCTCCTTACAAACTTAAACTTAAGTAATCCTTAAGGATTTTTGAGAAAAGAGACTTAATGTAAGAAAGAAAATTTTAAAAAGTAAACCTCTTCCAGAAATACATTAATATTTTTTCTTAAGAGAGGTACAATATGTTCCATGATTACTTGTTATTTGGGAAAATTATTTCTATTAGATAGTTCTAAAACTTTTATTTCTTGTGATGCATAAAGAATATTTTTCCTACACATGTTCTTTAAAGGAGATAGAAAACATAAATGTCCTATTTTTGCCCCAAATTCATTTATACCATGAAAAAACAATTTAGAATTTGTTATTGGAATCCATTTCTAAGAACTTAACTCACTTACCCCTTCCTTGTAAGATAACTTTAAGATGAACCTGAGAACTGGGCTCTAGGAATAAGTATCAAAAAAAGTGGTTTCTAGGAATGACATTCTCCAAGTGGCTGAATTTTGAGCACAAAGATAGTCACTTGTCAATAGACTAACAATTTAAGTCTGAAAAGAATATTAATATCTTTTTAGCCAAGTTATAGTCAGTTAAGTATTAGTGTTATGAAAAAAAATAAAGCCTAACCTTTGAAACTGCTACAAGATGTACTCTTGATTTAAAAGGAGTGGGCAAGGCAATTGAAAAAATACAGTTTTTCACTTTACGAACATAATTTTCTTTAACAGGATCAATTGGCAACACAGCTGATAAAAACAAAAAACAAAAACACAACCTTCTTAATGTTCTCATTTGTTGCATTTACAGCATTAATATTCCTTAGAAATGCTACGGTTCTTCATGAAAATCAACTTAAAACACTATTTTCTTCACAATTTGTTATTGAGAGTCTATTTTATCATTTGTAAACATATCTATCCAATATTCATATAGCAAAGTACATGGAACTGTCCAAGATGGGAGATGTAAAAAGTTTAAAACAAGACACATACCTGTCTTCAAAGATTTTCACACGTGGCAGATCAATAAGATGTGCAACATATTCATAAATAAAAATATATAAATAAAATGGAAATGAGCTGCATCACAGTGTTAGAATTACTAGAATTAGTGCTGGCCAATTCAATGGAATCTAACCAAAAAATATTAGGCACTTAATCACATTCTTTCTGCCTTTCAGAAAAATCGTAACTGAAGGAAACAGATATATACATAGATGTTTTACTAAAAGTACAAAGCCACTCCCAATTCCACCAGAAACTTCAAAACATTTGCTACAGCCTCTAAAAATTGCCTCTAAAGAGATAAAGTATTGTTCATAAAGTCCAGGCACTAAAACACATGCACTTGGTTTAAAAATCGGTAGAGAGCCCCAGCCGGGTTGCTCATTTGGTTGGAGCATTGCCCCATACCCCAAAAGGTTGTGGAATCGACTCTGGTCAGGGCACATAGCCAGGTTTTAGGTTCAATACCAGGTCAGGGCACATAAGGGAGGCAACTGATGGATGTTTCCCTGTCACATCAGTGTTTCTTTCTCTCCCTCTCTCCCTCGCTCTCTCTCTCTCTTCCCCTCCCTCCTTTCTCTTGACACATATCCTCAGGTGAGAATTTTTTTAAAGCTGTAGAGAAAAAAAAAAGAGAGCTTTGCACATGCTTTAGATCCACAGAACATATTTACTTTAAGTACAATTCTTAAAATCTTAATTAAGGTTAATTGCTTTTCCTAATCCAAAGCAATTAAAAAATAGAAAAGATATATGTATTACTAAAACTACAGGACAAAGGGACACAAAAGCTTACATCACTGAATAGATAAGATACTATGTTGTCAAGATGACAGTGTCATCAAATTATTTAATAAACAGAATGGAAATCCAATAAAAAACCTAGTAGGATTTTTTTGAAGAAACATAAAACTTATAGTATAAATCTGGAAAAAATAAAAACTTTTTTAAATAGGAGAAATGGGAATTTCCTTATCACATTGAAAATTACAAGAATACAACAGCTAAAAATACTGTTACTCCAAAAATAAAGGCCAAAATTAATGGGACTCAACAAAAGGTACATAAAGTGCCCAAAGTAATGTAAGCATTCCCTATATAATAAAAATTATCTTTTGAAAAAGTAGAGAAAGGTGACATGAGGACAATTTGCTCAACTATTTGGAACAACTCATCACACTGAAGCCAAGGTGAACTAAAAGTCAATTATAACAGAAATAAGAGTAATCTTGTATCTTCCTCATATTAGTATAAAAACATGCAAGTGTGGGCCACCTTTAACCTTTTTACTTCCCCTAAGAACATGGTGAATAAGGCAGCATCATAAGAAAAGTGGTCAGCAAAAACCAGATTTTAGTATCTACCACAGAAAACCCAACAGTATGATTAGAAGACCCAACAGTATATTTTCTTCTTTTAGAAGTTGCCTCTGTGTAGAAATAAACCATTATATAATTAATACATTTCTTTCTTTAATGATGCTCTAACATTCTGGTAGAGCACAGGCAGTATGTATTTCCATTAGTACTTATGATTTTGTAGTGATTCACATTTTGCAAGGTAGCTGATCATTGGCTACCTTATGATCACTAGCTAAGGAACAAAAACGGCTAACTGCTTCAAAGGACCCAACCCTCACCCTTGTTATAGTTTAACCACCTAATCAGCCTTAGACTAAAATCACCAGCAAAAATTCTAAATGTATGTTAACCCTTTAACTTCCCATCTCAGAGAAACCAGTAATTCTAAAATTCTTTAGAACTCAGTTTGGCCTAAGAATATAAAATCCCCGAAAACTGCTAACCTTTTCAGTGCAATTATGTTTGAACCTAGTCTCAATGAGTGTTCTCCCCAGTTACCTTGATAATTCATTGCTCGTTTTTCATAACCTCAGGATGAGATGACTTTATGCAGAACTATTAACCAACACATGGTTAGTAAGTATGTAGTATTATGTATACAATCTGTAAAACCTGGTCCAACCATGTTTTGAACAGTATCATCAAGGAAAGAAAATGTCTTGAAGTGTAGCCAAGTCACTGACACCAAAATAACAATTTTGAAAATGCTTTCAGTTACACTTATTCCATTTTTATCAGTCAGTACTGGTTGTTTCATTTGCATAAGTCCAGTCAAAAAGGCCGTTGTGAGCCTGTGCAAAGGGAATTGTTGGGCAGTTTCTTACACAGCTCAGACTGTTTTTTAACTTCCTAGACTCATGCTTGGTCTGACTGGGTCAAGCACTATTAGCTGGTATTCTCCATGTCCTACTGATAGGCTACTGTGCATCAGTTTAGTCATACTATGTTAGAAGCCTTCATGAATTTCATCTGCCCTCCCTACTTAGCCTTGCCATATTAAATCTTTTTATAAACCAGGTGTTTTGATTTAATCTGGAGAAACAATTTCTAAATAAAAATGACCTGATAGAATTGTGTTGTATCTGTCAACTATGTGAGCTTGGGCAAGACACTTAATTCCTCTATCTCAGTTTCCTGATCTGTAAAAAGGGGCAAATGATAGTATCCAAGTAATAAAATTGCAAGTACAAATTTTAACCACTACATTCTACTTTGGCAAATTCTACCTGTTGGGTATGTAATACATAAAGCTTTATTAAGATAAGCCAGAGGTGTGTATTAACCACCTTCATTTGTAAAGCACTTGAATTTGTTTTGGGTTTTTTTTTATATAATATTCTTCAAGTTTGTGGGGGCAGGGAGACAAAATTAGACTAGGAAATTTCTTTGTTCTATATTTTTATTCAGTAAAAAACAATAGTTTCAAGATAAATATGATGCATGCTCACCTACACAAGATACTTACACTCTGATGCAAAAAGTTTGGTTTACAAGAACAAAAAAAAAAACAAAAAAATCCCCAGCCCTGGCTGTCATGGCTCTGTGGATTGAGTGCCAGCCTGCAAACCAAAGGGCCACAGGTTCCATTCGCAGTCAGGGCACATGCCTGGGTTGCAGGGCCAGGTCCTCAGCAGAGGGCACGCAAGAGGCAACCACACATTGATGTATCTCTCCCCCACTCCCTTCCCCTCTCTCTATAAATAAATACTAAATAAATAAATAAATAAAATCTTTTTTAAAAATCAGAGAATTGCAGTTGCATTTTTGCTGGTCTATTTCCTCATAGCAAATTTTTTGAGGACAGAATAAGTTTCTTCCCTAAAGCTTACACTTTCTCTCATTGGCTCTGTGTTTGTTTGTACGCATTTATGGAATGATTACTTCTATGACAGTCTTGTTATAAATACGCCCTCTCATGACCATGAGAAGAAATCTGGCTTTGGAACTAAGGACAGGTTTTTCTAACTCACATCCAGTACTAATCCTGTACAATATTCAGTATCCCCTGGGCTGGCTACAAGTAGGTTCAATGTTACTAAATATTAAACAATACCCCACAAGTCAGTACACCCACGCGTGGGACTCACACATCCAGATGTGCGCAAGACGGCCAATTATGCCACCATATACCTATAAGGTTTTCAGAGGAAAGGGTCCAAAAGTCGAGAGACGAGGCTAATCTAGTTTCTGCTTCACAATAGCTCTGCTCCTGGTTTGACTTGTTACTGAAAAGGTGCAAAAGATTGGCACTTCCTTCAAGGCTAGGTTGTAATAAGGAGCAAATGACAAGTTGGCAGGTCATACACAAGAGAAGCAGCCGTGGAATGTGTAGCCTCCGGATTAAGAAACAAAACGGGAACCCAATTCTTCGAGTCATATTTCTGCCTAAATATGTAGGACAGAAGTCATTGACTGAAGTCCGGCGCACTGTGGCACGTCTTTCTAACAGCCGGTCACCCGAAGGTACATTTCGCTCTGTTCGAGTTACCGGCTCCCGGAGAGCTTTAGGGAGGATTCGGGAGAGACGGCTCGCGAAGTGCAAGGTCACGGTTAGTTTCTCCCGGGCCCGGATACCACTGGTGGGGAAGGGGCCCAGCCGCCGCGCACCCCTTCGTCTGCCACTTCCGCCGACAGCCCGGAGGTCCCCGCCGACTCCCACGCAGACAAGTGCCCGAGGTCCTGCGCGGCCGCCGCTCGAGAGCGCTGGCGGCCCAGCCCGGGGAAAGAACGAAAAGAGGCGCCCCGGGCGGGACCGAAGCTCTTCCTGTGCCAGGTTTCCGGCTCCGGGTCCCGGAGGAGGGCCATCGGTCCCTGGGCGGGGCTGCCGCCCGCCGCGGCTTTTAGACTCGTACCATGACCTCGTGCTGGTGGCGGTGGCGGCGCGGCTGCCCCTGGAGGCCCGCGACGCGGAGCCCCGGGCCCGGCTCCCCTGGTCGTGAGGGACCATGCGGGCCGCGCCCCACCGCCGCTGCCCGCGCGCAGGTAAGGCCGGGAAGCGCGGGTCTTGACGGGCGCAGAGGTCACCGCGCAATGACAGCGGCGCGGAGGAATGAATGGGCTCGAGCGGCACGTGTGCTGGGCAGGGGGTCGCGGGGCGGTGCTAGGATGGGCCCCCGGGCTGGCCGGTGCCCCGATGGGTTCCAGCCGCCAGGTGGGACGAGGAGGGGTGGGCGCCCACCGTCAGTCTACCTAAAGTAGTGGCACCCCTCGCGGAATTGCGGAGCGGTGTGGGGACCGAAGAGAATTTAAGAATTGGGAAGGGCGGATTGAAGAGCCAGGTCTCGGGGGAAACGGAGGACGAGTGGTCAGATTGTCTCATGGGGTACGGACAAAGTCAAGACTGGGGACCGTCTGCAGCTCTTTCCTTTCGAGTTTCACAGCTCAGGCTTCGGAAGATCAGATTTTAGAGCTAAAGGTGCTCTGTATGTAACTCTCAAGGGATCCAAGTGGTCTCCCTGATGGCCTCGATAGGTGGAAAAGGTCTTCTGGAGGATATGGGGCTCATGCTGAGGGTGGGCAGGATTTCATCCGTACTGTATGTAGCTGTTTCTGGGGGAGAGCTTACCTGGGCCGGGTGCAAGGGCACTTGAAGGAGAAAAGCCCTGAGGATGGCAAGTAGAGAAGCCCTTGGGGTTATCTGTCGTTTGACCTATGACTTCTTGAATTAGAGTCAGAATCTCAAGCACTAACCATGGTTCTTTGATTCTCTCTCCTGCTGCCTATGGACCCAATTTCATTTTTCTCCCTTTTCTGTCAGTTTAGCCCTTGTAAATTGACATGTTTCTATGTCACTATGAGTCTTTTCTGCACTTCGTAGTGATTGTCAACCTGCCTTAGGCCCATACTGTTTAGCATAACTGCCCAGAGTATGGATTCACTGTTCTTTTCACAGACTCTCTAGTCACACAGTAATTGTATGTGTTCAACTTTCATTCTCAAGGCTTACTTTTTTGTTTTTTAAGTTTATTTGAATTTAGGGCTTTTATGTTTCAGTCAGATTTGGTACACTTCAAATTCCCATGTACCCATCAAACATCATTTACCAATATGAAATAGGCAGTATATATAAGTGTCTACTTTGCACCATAGTGGATACATATCACAACTTACCCAAAATGGACATTTGGCAAGATAGTGGTAGCTGGGCTAGCAGATAGACTTGACAGTAAAGGGAGAATATGAGCAAAGAGCCTCAGGACTTTGCTGGGATCCATTTAAGTAGCATCCTAGCCAGACTCCAAATGTTCTAGGATCACAGATGAGGATATCATTTGAAGAGTGGATGCACCCACCTTCTCATGCCACTGGATACTTCTTTTCTTTGACATTCTTTTTTTTTTTTTTTTAAATTCCATGCCCTCCAAGCAACTTTCTCCGTGACAGAAAGGCTGCTTTGGAGAGGATGCACCTTAGAGACCACAGGAGGGACTGTGCTGAGGCTGCCAGTGCCATGTGTTTCTGGTTTGTGTGTCCATGGTGTCCTTCACTGTAAATTAGGGCACTAGCCTTCTGCTGTCTGCCTCAGGCTTCTGTTTTGACTAGTTCAAGTCACTCAGGGCCTGATAGGGTTAGCCTTGGGGACACAAAGCAACAATAATAAAACCACCTCCAGCGCTCTAACACTGCTCTGCTACTTCCTGACGCATGTGCATTCTCCCAACTTCTCCATTGCTAGTGTTAACAAGTCTTGTAATCAGGCAAAACCAGTGTGCATTAGATCGAGGCAAATCACTTGTCAGGACATCTTTGATTCTAATTCTGCATTTTCTCTTTTTTAAAAAAGTAAATTCATAGGAGGCAAGGTTGGCTTTCAGGAAAGTAGTGATGGAATCACAGGGAACAAAATTGGAACTGGACAGTTGCTTTTGGCTAGTGCTAATGTTGGCACACCGAGTGATTCAGCTCTAGTTTCACAACTGCCTTTTAATACTTTACAATAGTCCCCTCTTTTCCACAGTTTTGTGTTCCAGTTTCAGTTACCTGTGCTCAACCATGGCACAAAAATATTAAATAGGAAAGTCCAGAAATAAGCACTTCATAAATTTTAAATTGTGCACTGGATTCGGAGTAGTATGACAAAATCTCGCACAGTCCTGCTTAGTCCCACCCAGAGTGTGAATCCTCCCTTCATGCAGCATATTCCTGCTCTGTATCCCCACCCATTAGCCACTGAGCTCACCTCCCAGTTAGACGGTGGTGGTATTGCAGTGCTTATGTTCAAATAACCCTTATTTTACTTAGTAGCAACCCCAGCATACAGGAGGAGTGATGCTGGCAATTCAGATACGCCAAAGAGAAGCTGTAAAGTGCTTCCTTTATGTAAAGAGATATATATGTATAGGAAAAACATAATGTACATAGGGTTTGTTATTATTTGCAGTTTCAGGCATCCAAGATGTATCCCCCACAGATAAGGAGGGGCTCTTGTAATGTTCTTTTAAATATCTCTAACACTACTTTGGCAAACATTGCCCTAAGATACTCCTAAAGCAGAAATATAGCTTGATTGAATAGATACTATATTAAATGTATGCAGTGTATTAAGCGCTGAGCTCAGAGCTTTACCTATACCCTCTAAATCAATCTCAGCATCTCTCTAGGAGTAGGTATTATCAAAAAGATGTCACAAGCTAATGGAGCCAGGAAACATTGGGATTTGAACCACAGTCCATATTCCAGGTTTACTTAATGTGTAATGCTGTGGTGGAAAGAATAGAACTCAGACCATCTTCTTTGGCCCTACCTGCCTGGCAAAGTCAAACTCTATTGTCATTTTAATATGTCCAAAGCAATACCTGTTCACTAGAGGAAAATCAGAAAATATGAGCAAAAAAGGAATGAAACAAAGGAAACCTAATCCTAATTATTCCAGAATAACTATTTTTAGTGCCCTGATTTATATGCTTTCAAAGCCTACCTTCTGCATTGTATGTGTGTGCCTGTGCGTAAATTTCTAGTGGGAATCACATGTTTTTTCTTTTGATATTTCCCCTCTTAGTTTTTTTGGCTGGTCAAATAATTAAAATGACATAAAACATATTAAGAGTAGAAAATACCTGGCTGGTGTAACTCAGTGGATTGAGCGCGGGCTGGGAACCAAAGTGTCCCAGGTTCAATTCCCAGCCAAGGGTACATTCCTGGGTTGCAGGCCATAACCCTCAGCAACCGCACATTGATGTTTCTCTCTATCTCCCTCCCCTCCCTCTCTAAAAATAAATAAATAAAATAAAAAATAAAAAAAGAGTAGGAAATAACCAAATTTAATTATGTATGTACATATGGGGGTTCCATAAGAATATGGGGCCAGAAGACCTGAGGAGAAAAGGGAGGGTAGTGGATTGGGACTGCAAGAAGGATGAATGCAGCTCATGTAGAGATGAAACGGTGAGTAACTGACAAATGTTTGCTGGGCCACCTTTAACAATGAAACACAGGGAGGGCCTGCCCATCTGTCACACCTAGTTCATATTAAGCCGTAATCATCTGTGATGATAGTTCACTTCCTGGAGCAGGTCCTCTGTCTAAAATCTTTAACGCATTTGGGGGAAGAGCAAAGGTTCTTCCTTCCCTATGGTGGAGGTGGGGGGGCTCCACCTGCAGAGCCCCTGCTGTCAGCCACAGATGAGAATAAGTCTCCCAAGACATGATCTGCTTGGGGAGGAAAGGTGGCTGATCTCTCAAAGGAAAAGGGCCAGGAGCCTGTTCCTCAATGGGCTTTTAATGGGTTTAATTTGCATAGGAATACAGGATATATACATAAAGTCCATCATTCATTGTCAGGCAGTAATGATCAAACAATAGATAACATTCGAAGAAATCTAAGGGCTTATTTTGAGTCAGGGTCAAATAGCTAAAGGGCCATAAAACTTTGGAGAAACAAACTCATTTCATGCTTGGACCAGTATCATTTAAATTTAGGATATTCTTAGGAAAGCAGGTTTCACAGGACTTGATGCATTCTTTCTTACGCCTGATTGCCCTGGGGAACCCGCCCTTTTCAGCACAGGGCTGCATCCACCTCCAGCATTGTTACAGGCTTAAGGCATTGTTGCAGGCTTAAGTTGGGCCAGGAAAGTAAGGCAGCTAAGAGATTAGGAGACTTCTTGCAAGCAGAATGAGGATCAGGCTATGTCAAAGCTGAGGGGCGAGGGTCTATCACCCCCTTTGTCTATAGCCTTCTGAGTCTTTCCCTGAGGGCCCCCTTCATGACTATGCTTATCTTAGGTTGTCCCTCCTTTGAGGAATCTTACCCATCAGTGGCTAACCAGTCATCCACCTAGACCAAGCAGGGTGAAGTGAAAGGGGGCAGAGGTGGTGCCCCTGCCAGGGAGATAAGCTTTGTCTCCTTAGTGGCTTCTGGTCCCAGGGTCTCTTTAATCAGCCTTAGCCATGGGGTGGGGGGGTTACAGCTTCTGAAACCAGGCAGGGCAGTTCCCAACACTTTCCGAGTCTTTGATTCTTAAAAATAATCATTATCCCAAAGAGGCATATTTTGGGCTAGCAAACTCTGCTCCCCTTCAATATGCAGGCATGTGCCACATAATGACCGGGACATGTTCTTAGAAATGCACTGTTAGGTAATAGTGTCATATGAACATCGTCGAGTATGCTTACACAATCCTAGAAAGTATAGCCTACTGCTGTGCTATATTTTTATGTGACTGACAGTCAGTAGGTTTGTTTATGCCGCCACCACCATCACAAACGTGGGTGATGTGCTGTGCTACAATATGAGTAGCCAACAGAAATTTTTCAGCTTCGTTATAATCTTACGGGACCACCATCAGATATGAAGCCTGTCATTGACTAAAATGTTACGAAGCATATGACTGTACAGTGTTGTAGATATCTGCATAGATGTCCCTGAATTACGATGGCTCAATTTAAGATTTTTCAATTTTACAGTGGTTCAAAGTCATATGCACTCAGTACCAGCTATGCTAAGCTCTGATGTTCAGTAGGTTAGGTGTATTAAATGCCTTTCAGCTTATGATATTTTCAACTTATAATAAGTTTATTGAGATATAATCCCACCGTAAGTCAAGGAGCATCTGTATACCAGTTTTCAAACTTGACCTCTCAACTTCAAGTTCTCTGGTTGTATATAAAGCAAATAGTTGTGAGGGTCAGATAGTGTAAAAGCACGTTGTAATATTTTATTACTAATAAAATGAATTAGTTTTATTTTCTTGTGCTAAATTTACCCTTTTGTCACAATGCTTTCTTCAAATGCTCTGTAAGAGCCATTACATTAGATGAGTAATTTTCGAAATGGCTGTGTCCTGAATTCTTTGAGATTGGCAGTATTCCTGACCAGGATAGTGCTCAGTAGTTGTTGGAACTAACATTTGTCATTACCATCTCTGCTGGAAGTTCTGCTCTTGGCCTCAGATTAAGTTAATATCAGAATATGCTGCTGAGCTTGTTTGTTTGTGTGCCATTACATACCAAGAAGTAGCATTTCCAAAACTGATTAAAAAATAATAAAATAAAATAATTTAAAAAAGAAGCATTTCCAAATAGGTTTAGGAAAAATGACTTAAAATAGGCACTGTTTGTGTACATGTAAATTTCCTCTGTAACACTGAAATCTTTTTGCTTTTTAACATCTGGGCTGATGCTTTTGGAATCTTGATTATTCTTGTTTTAAATCAATGTAAGAATTTAAAAGAATGTGAAAAACACTGATCTTTTACTATTCTCTGGCCAGTCTTAGTTAAATAGAAGGAAACTGATTTAAAACTACCTTCACATCTGCAAAGACAGTTGTGAATAGGGAAGCCAGCTTTCTTTGGAGGCAGGGATAGATTATAGATTTTTTTTAATTTTCTGCCTTTTTTCTTATTTACATGTTCTGTAATGACAAATATTACTTTTGTAATAAGGAAGAGAAACTTTTATCATTTTTCTAAAGTTTACAATCTACCTATAACAGACAACTAAAAGATCACAACTATATCTATTATGAATTATGGGAGTTTTTATTAATTTTTATTTTTTGCTTTTTAAGAAATTTTATTTTTCAATCACAATTTACATTCAATATTTTGTATTAGTTTCAGGTGTACAGCATAGTGGTTAGACAATCATACTTTACAAAGTGTTCCCCCTGATATTTCCAGTGCCCACCTGGCACCATCCGTAGTTACTACACTATTATTGACTCTGTTCCCTGTGCTGTACTGTACATCCTGTGACTATTTTCTGACGACCAATCTGTACTCCTTGGTCCCTTCACCTCTTTCACCCATTTCCCCTACCCTCCTCCCCTCTGGCAACCATCTTTTCTATGGGAGTTTTTATTTATCTAGCGTAATAAGTTTTTTATGAATATGCTTACAATTTTTAATACCTTTATTTTCTAGATATCCTATTTTTATCTTGTGAAGAGTTTAACATCTGCCTGTTCAAATATGTACAGTATATCACGGTAAGTTTCTAAGCTGTATTGCAACTCCAAAATTATTAGCCATATTGTCAGCAAATTTCTATTCCAAATTGTGGTGGGCTAGTCCAGCAAATTGAATATGTTGTTTAAATAAGTGCTATAATATCTGCTCTGTGTGATCTCTGTCTTTTCACAAAAAAATGGTGATATAATTAAACTTAACTCAGAACACAATAAACATGCTTAGTCTTCCTTCCTTTTTGATTTTGTGGGTTCTCAAGGCCCTGGTTGTAAAAATAAACTGGTAATGTTTAAACCACTATTATTTAGCAAGAACAGAATTCTCTATGTTTTTCAAAATTATATTGACCCTTTTGGATTAATGCTTAATTTCCAGCAAGTATCTGGGCTTAAATTTTCTATCATCTGACTACTATACGTGTCTGTATATGCATGTGTGTATATAATTCTTACTTTGAAAATTTATGATAACACTCAAGTTTACCTTTTGTGCATTTGCACTTGTCCCAGGCTCCATCACACCACATCGGCCACGTGCTGTTGTAGTAAAACATGGAGTGGTGAGAAATACACTGATCCTTTCACACTTGGGAGGAGATACTTGAAAGGCCTGTATGAGGACATTAGAAAGGTAAGATGCTTTCACGATGCTGTGGAGTAACATTGAGCTTTTAGAATTAATGAAAAGACAATGCAGGTTTCTGATAGGTACAAAAACTTGACTCACAAATGGCCAGTTTCAGAACTTGAGCAACAGCAATAGGGCAACATGGAGGATGAAATCCATTTCCATCCAGAAAGAGGTTGTTGCAGAGTTGGGCAACTGAAACAGTGATACAGGCAGCACCCGCCTGTCCGGAGGGCTAGCTAACGTCTTCTCTTCGATTGCATCACCTACCCCACACAACTGAAATACTGAAGCCTTCGTGACTCCTCTCTCGTCTTCCTTACCTAATTCTACACATCAGTGCCTGACTGCCCCAAATAGGGCTTTCTTCATTAAATGCTTTTCTTCCCGAAAGCTTCAGTGGTTCCCAACCAACCTCATTAGAATTCTGAAATGGTGTCCAGAAATGTTTACATGCCTGCCTCGGCTTCCTTCCCCTTTCGAGATTCTCTCCTCCAGCCTCCACCCCACCTGGCTGTGTCCACAGCAGCCCCACTTCCCATTCGACAGGCCGAGTGGACACCATGAGGAGGAACCCCCTCGGTGCCTGCTCTGTTGCCATGGACAAGCTCACCTATGCCCGTCTACATGAAGTAAATGTCTCTTCCTTTGCAGAACGGTCCCTTTACCACTAGTGAAGCTCCATCCCCAGTGCCTTGGGAACTGCACCCCCAGTGGCCTATTCTTTATCTGCTGACTCTCGCTTTTCCTGTCCCTTTCCTGTCCTTTTTAGGTGCTCCAGTTTGTTCATGTCCATCTTTTAAAGGACTGTCCCGTGACCCGGTGCCCCACCCTTTCCCTTCTATCACTGAATGCCCTAACTCTGCCTCTATTTTGCCCCTTCATGTTCACTCTGCCATCACACTATGCCTTTCCTTCCAGCCTCTTCTCTGAACCTACCTTTGCCTAGGTCTTTAATAGCTCCCTTCTAATAAACCCAGTAGACACTTCAGTTTTTATCTTCCTTGAGTATTTTTTAACATTGGATGCCGTTGACCACTCCCACTCCAGGAAGCCCACCCCCTGGCTTCCTGCACATCCCTTATTCTAATTCTTCACCCTTCAGTCTGCGTCCTGGCTTCCTCTCTGTCCCCTCTACCATGCCTCCTTTAGTTTTGCCATTCCCTGGGGTTCTGTTGGCCCCTCCTCCATGTCCTCAGCTTACCCATTTTCATACTTAATGGCACCCAAATAATACCTCTGTTCCAGATTGAATCATCACTCAGAAACCAATACACCTAACTGCCCACTGGCAGCTCCATTAAGTGGCCATGACTATATCGAACTTAACATTTCTGAATCTCTACTCTCCTACTCATTGTCTTTTCTCCTGTTTTTTTCAGGAGCCCCAGAAGGACCCTCCACTCATCCCTCTTTCCCCTCCACATGCCCTAGTCTGTGTCTTGCCTTCAGTCGCACTGCTTTAGGTTAGGTCACCCTCATTTCCATGGCCGTCATCCTTGCTGTCTCCCCACCTCATTCACTCTGAGCCAGAGGTGCCTCCTGTGTGATTCTAGGGTAACAGCACCTGTCATACTGTTGTGTTTTATTGCAGTTATTGTTTTATTACTTCTCCCCATCTAGACTCTGAGCTCCTTATAGGCAAGGGCTGTCTCATTTATCTTTATAACCTCTGCACTTAGTATGGTGCTTGGCACCAAGTCAGTAATTGAGTGAGTTAATGACTGACTGAGGTATAGTTTTTTCCTTCGCTGTGAGGGGGGTCCTCTGTGTCCATTCTTAGCTCCCACTACTAAGGGGTCAGCTCTGATTCATTCTAGCAAGTCCTTGAGTAGCAGGTAGAACAAACACACCTCTGTGCCTGAAGACTAATCATCTTCACAAATCAAAGGCCTACTTATCCTTTAATACCAGATTAAAGCTTATCTTTCCTGTGAAATGTTGGGTCTTTCTAGTCCACACTGCTTTCTCTTCTTTGAACTTATAGTATAATATTCAATGTATAGTACTCTTCAAGTTACAACTGCATTATTCACTGAATATTTATTTTTTAAAACAGTGTTGTCTCCTCATCTCATTTGTAAGCTGCTGGCCATCAGACAAATCACGTCTTACACTTCCTTTATGAGCTTAGTCCTGCTGTTTCTCACCACCGCCCACCCCCACCCCACTGCTCCAGGCGCAACCTTGCCTCCCCACCCAGAACAGCCTGCCCTCCTGCCTCAGAGGCTCCCAAACTCCTGTCTTTGTTCCCTCCACTCCGTCTTCCAAGCTGGGCCCCCTCAAGCTTTCCTCCCCGTCCTGCTGTCTCTGGGAGCCACTGGGGGCGGCTCAGTTACATGGCAGCCAGGTTTTTTGCCATGCCACATAGGAACCTTTTTCAACTGAGTGTTGACTTTCTCAATTAAAATTAATACACTGAAATCAAATCCAAGTTTTGAAAAAGAAATCCTGTTGCTTTCCTATTCAACTATGATGCCACATTAACACAGAGACACTTTATTTCAGGAACTACTCATATGTCCAACAGAACTTAAAGAAATGTCTGAATACTACTTTGATGGAAGAGGAAAAGCCTTTCGACCAGTTATCGTGGTGCTCATGGCCCGAGCGTGTAACATTCACCATAATAACTCCCGGTGAGTCATTTACTTCCATTCCTCTGTTATATTTTGCAGGTCCTCCTCCTTCCTGAGGCTACCATTTAGTTTCCTGTCTGTGCTTAAGTAGCATTAGCTAAGAATTCACTTTGTGATGAGTAGCTTCTGACTTGGAGTCACTAAGGCCACTCTGGAATCTCATCTGGACACCTTCCTTTTCCACCTTTTTCATATCCATGGAAGAACAATTTCAGCTGCAAACAGGCATTTTAGAAAGAAGTCTAAAAGCCAAATGCAGTTTTCTGATTCAGAAGTAAAGGCTACCAGGATGTATGCCCACATGTAGTCATTTTCCACACAGGCCTGTTAGTCCAAAGGTGGGTGGTTATAAAGTGATAAACTTTGCCATAATTCTGGGCACCTCACCCATCAGTGCCTGCCTTCCTGTGACTTCTGGAAATGTGCCAGAGAGAAATCTTTTTTAAAAGAGGTGTTTTAACTGTAGTCCTCAACTTTTGAGTTTTGAATATAGTTTTAAAATTTTTAAAGATTTTATTTATTTCTTTTTAGAGAGAGGGGAAGAGAGGAAGAAAGAGAGGGAGAGAAACATCGATGTGCTAGAGAAACATCGATCAGTTGCCTCTTGCATGCTTCCGATCGGGGACCTGCCTGGCAACCCAGGCATGTGCCCTGACCAGGAATTGAACCAGTGACCTTTCAGTTCACAGGCCAGTGCTCAGTCCACTGAGCCACACCAGCCAGGGCAAATATATTTAAAATTTTAAAATATTAAAGCAACTGCAATGTTAAATGTTAAATCCTAAAAGGAAAGGAATATGTTAAATCCATATTGTCTCATGTAGCCATCTTTGCCATTGCCTCTACCCCTCCCCTCTTGTACTTAGTCATTTATAAATAATTTTGAGTTCTGCTTTGTTTAAAGTCTTTACCATTTTGCTGGAGTGTCTTCATAGTTATTTTTACATCATGTGATCTGTTGATGGAAATTCCAGTAGACCATAATGTACTTATACATTTCCCTAGTGTCGAACATTTGTGTTCCATTCCCTTTTGTCAATAGAGAGTATCTTAAGGGATGCCTTTGTCAGCACTAAATTTAAGGATGCTCTCAGAATGAACATCAGATGTTTCCGAGCGTGCTCTCCCCTCTTCCTCCTCCACTGCAGCCCCTCCCCAGTTCCAACACAGCACGCCATGCTCCACGCATCTCCCAGTCACCTGAGACTTTCAAAGAGCTCCCAGTATAGTTTGAACAAGCAGTGAAATCTCTGGTAGTGACTTTTTAACCATTATCATACTCATTTTCAATCCACTTAGAAGGCAGAGCAGCAGAAATGCTCCCTCTGCACCAAACTTGAGTACGTCTCATGTGGTCTCTAGCAGGGTTTCTCAGTGTGGGTGTGACGGATATTTTGGGCCACGTCATTATTTGTGATGGGTGGGGTTGTCATGTGCATTGACGGAGGACATAGTGGCACTCCTGCCCTCTAAGATGCCATTAGTGCCCCCCCCCCCCAGGTGATGACAACCCAAAAGGCCTCCAGACATTGCCAAGTGTCCCCGGGGGAACACAGTCATCCTTGGTTGAGAGCAACTCGTCTAGGGAGATTGTGTGTTTATATTTTAAGTATCTTTGATTAGTACATAATACCATTGGTTGCCCTCAGAGATAACATGGAAAGGGGTACTCTAACTCCTGTCAGTTGTTGTCCCAATAGGTGAAAGGTTTTTCAGTCTGCTTTACTGCCCTGTATAAACTGTTGATTGCAGAAAACATGGGAGAATATAGCACAGAAAAAGTATTACTGGTTCAAAAAGTAAGTCCAAGACTGCCCTCTCCAGGAATGTTTTGCTGCAGTGTCGTTCTCCCCGTCAACGACCAGAGCAGGAAGGCCCTGTCCAGTGTTGGGCTGTGAGTCCTGACGGAGGCGGGCGTTTGGGTAGTACAGTATCCCAGCTGTGTTACTCTCTAGGCCCCAGGTTCTTGAGAATAAGGACCCCCCTAAGGACCCTTTGGATCAGGCTCTTAATGAGCTAAACATCTAGCTGTTAGTTCCGTGCCACTTAAAGCAAGAAAGGGGCAGGGGGAGCTTCTGGAAAGCTGGGCCAGGTGTGGTTCTGCTTGTTGAGAAAGACTGAGGACAGCATGGGTCTGGCAGAGCAGACCAGAAGGTGAGGAATGACACATTCCACCCTCAGTACTTCAGGGACCCAAACTCATGGCAAGTCTGTTCAGTTGCATGTAAAGATAAAGTCTATTTGAGTCTGTAGGGATGTAGTGTTCAGCATACTGAAAACAAAATGTGGACTTTTATCAGGGAACAGTAGAGAAATGCAATTCACATCCTGAGAATTGTATAGAGAAAGACGGAGAGACTTCATTTGCATTTTTTTAAAATCCTCACCCTAGGAATTTAGATTTGTTGATTTCAAAGACAGGAAGGGAGAAAGAGAAAGAAAGATCAGTATGATAGAGAAACATAGATGGCTTGCCTCCTGTACGCGCCCCAACTGGGGATCAAACCTGCAACCTTTGTTGTAAGGGACACACTCCAACCAAGTGAGCCACCCAGACAGGGCTCATGTGCATTTTATTAACTAATGAGTTTCTTCAGAACGAAACTGACAAAGTTCTGTTCGCATTCTTTCAAACATATCCTTTGAAAGATGAGTTCCAAACTCCTTCAGATGTGGAGGATAAGAGGAAAGAAGGGTCTCCCTCCCGTGATTGTGTTTCTCAGGGCAGGTGAGCCTCTCTGCTCATGGGCTGCGAAGAGACTTGGGAGGGTCCTCAGCACAAGACCTTTGAACTGATACTCCCAACTTTCAGGTCACCTTTAGGAGAGGACAGACTTGCATTCCGTTTTCCCACCCTTTATCAGTTGATGTAGCAGTGAGCCAGCAAAGGATGAGCCTATACCAGAGCCCTTCTTAAGAAAATCTTCCATTTGACTTACAGTAAATTAAATGAATGCTCCCACTAGACAGAGCCATGTTTCCAACTTTTGTGCATCGGATTCACCCGGCATGCGTTTTAAAAATGCAGATTCCTGAGCCCCACCATTAGAAATTCTGATTCACTATGTCTGAGCCTCAGTCTGTATTTTAAAGAGTATTGGTTCCAACAAGGTGGTCCAGGGATAGATATGTAAGAAATACCGAGTATGTCAGAGTTCCAGCAAACAAAGTGAAGCACTTATTTTTAGAATTGTCAGGAGAGATAAACAGAAGAATATTTGAAGTAGAAATAGAGTCTTTTGTATACCACTTGAAAACTCTGTTCATATATAACTTCCAGATTTAGGAATAGAAATTTCTCTGTCTCTATTGTTAAAGTGAAATTTTTGAACTTTTAAAATATATTTGCTTATCTCCTTTATTCCAAACCACGTAATACATTGCCAAGGTTCGATTTTTTTTTATAGACAATTTGTCCTCACTGGGAGTTGTAATTTGTTTCAGACTTCACATTGTGTATTAGTATGAATAGGGAGAAATAGGGAGAAAAAGTATTTTTTTAAATCATATGTAAGCTGGCTGAAGTGTACAAGGGAGGTCATTATATTATTA